TTTTAACTTTTTCATGATCAGTAACACTAGTGATGACGTCATCAGGCCACGCCCATGGTCATGTGACTAATACTGAAAAAACGCAAAGGCTCCCATGCAAATTACTTTATCGGGATTTCTTTCATTGATTTAACATTTTAATTTAAATCCTCATTACGCTATGCATAGATTTTGTTTCATGTTTAAAAGGTCAGATTTTGAGAGAATTTCAAAATATTAAAAAATTCGTAATTTTCTGAAAAAAGCATGATTTTGAAAAAGGAATGCATAGCTATCTTTCCAACGTTGGCTTTAATCGAAATCCGTCGAAAAAGGCTGGATTTAATGAAAAACCGTGTTTCCTTTAACATTTAAAGAGACCGGAAGTGCGCGCGATATATATCGGAAGTGAAAAATTGCGTGACAATGTGTCATTTCGTGACAATGTTCGTGACACACGTAATCTTACCTTTCTTGCCACCCGCCTTTTTTCGTGCGGGTCTGGTAGGATCCCTGAATGCTGATCCAGTGTTGAGCGCCTCCATGAGGCCGTCTAACACCCCCTCTTGATCATCATCTGCAGTAAACAAAGCAAAACATGTAAGATCTCAGCAGGAACTGGCTTCAACTTTGTAGATCATCAGAAATGGTCTAGTAAGGCCCTATTAGGGGTTTTCGGCAAACGGGATATTTAGGCAAAAAATTAACGGGATACAGGTTATATGGGGGAAAAATTAATGGGATATGGGATATTTAGATCAGATAAAACGGGATATCGAGAGGCAAATTTTTGTAAAGACCAAAAATTAGGCCAAAAATTAACGAGATGTGGGACATTCAGACCAAGACCGTTGGTGACTATCCCATACGTTTCAGGATTATAGGGTTTCCTAATAGGCTTTCCAAAATTTTTATCACAGGTCAATGCCATCTGTTATAGCGTTACGACCCCAACAAGGAAAAACATGTAACGATGCCAGGCGCGGAAAAACTTTATTCTAGATGTTACTAGTTTCAAGAGTCTGTGATGGGCGGGAAAACGGTAACCGCAGGAAAAACCTGCGTAATTACGACCAAGCGCGGGAAATTATGCAACCAGCGCGTAGCTGGGATAACAAGTAACCCGGTGGTACAAAGGGCGGGAAAACATGTGACGTAAGCCATGCCAGGCGGCGGGAAACATGCAAGCTGTGAAAAGCGCGGGAAGGAACAAGTAAATCACAATTACTTACTGACACAGCTTTCAAACAATATTTTGGCTCTTTTAGGCAAACACTACCACAATTTGAATACAAACCAGCATTCATGTCCACAACAGGTTTTCGTTTGGATTTTTCAGCCTCCATTCGCTTCTTTCTTTCTTTTTCCTTTTCCTGCAATTGAAAAAATCTCGATTGTTTAGGAAATACGGTCATTTCAAGACACTGTTCGCGGACACTTTCTGGAATTAAAATAAGTCGATAGGATACAACTTTTCATTCTATTTCTTAAAGCGATCAAAATCCTATTTTCTTACAATATCAATATATTGACAAGCAGACAGGTGATGAAAACAGAGAACATCATCAACTAGCAGATATTGTCTTGGGCCGGGTTGTTCAAAGCCCGATTAAGCTAACCCAGGATTAGTGAGAATTTTGATTTCAATTTTGTAACTTTTCGGCGAGGTTTTCTGTTTGTACTATTTGTCTTTCAGTTTTGAGTTTTAATAATCTTAAACTGCACAATACATAAGCAATGAAAAACATTTTTATACAAGAAAAATTGATACTTTGGTTAACTTTTAATCTTGGGTTAGCGTTAACCGGCTTTCGAACAACCCGGCCCTGATGTATAACCTAATTCTCAGAACTAACAAGGAAACAAATGTCCGGGTCGGCCGGTTGTTATAAAGCCGGTTAACGTTAACGCAGGATTAAAATTTAACCAAAGTATTAATACTTCTTGTATAAAAATGCTTTTTACTTCTTATACTTTGTGTGGTTTGAGATTATTCAAACTCAAAACTGAAGAACAAAAAGGAAAGAGACAGAAAACCCCACCGAAAAGTTACAAAACTGAAATCAAAGTTCTCGCTAATCCTGGATTAACTCTTACCGCTCGCTCCTTGGCTTTTCTATCTTTTTCTTCTTTTTCTTTCCGCTTGGCGTTGTCCTTTTTGGCTTTCTACAAAGACAACAAAGAAGGACAGAATCAGTTTCAAGGATAAAGTTCTACTTGGTTATATTTCGGTTACAACGGAATGCTTACAAATATTTTAAACGAAAATGGTTGAGAAAGCAAGCCCTCTATTGGGAAACTTCAACCAAATCGACCCTATCAGTCGAGTTAGTCAGCAAAACAACGCACAAACAGTCAACCTGAAACGGTTAATCTCAAAACACGCAAAGAGACTTCACAATAAGTATACTCTATCTCAATTAATGCTGACATGCGTAATATTCCAATTTCCAATGACATGCCATTCCAACCGTGCAACGTAAATTGAAATTACTAAAAATTGCAAATATCAGTTAAAGAATCTTACTGTGAAAACACGTGATAGGTGCAAATTTACTTTTTCCCATACATTAGTCTGCGCATATTCAACTAGCTGCAAATCAAATCGTCGACTGCTATACCCTAATAAGCCAATCAGAAACAATGATTCCGAAGACGTAAATTCAAAATTCGCGCCTTTTTCTTTGACGTTGGAAACCTTTCCTCCCTGAAAGCCAACCAGCAAGAGCTGTTTACGCTGTCACTTAAACACTATGCAGCAAATCACTATCAATGTATCATCTACCCTCACCTCAAAGAAGTCCAGGAAAGTTTTGATGTCACCAAAGAACTCTTCCATGGTGGTCTTCTTGACGTCCAAGCAGAAATACTCAACCAGTTCCTTGTACATGGTGGTCATGTTTTTATGCATCTCGACCAGAACATCGACTTGGTCTTTGGCGCTGCTGTAGAAACTGTGAGCGCTGTCAAGGAAATAACTTACGTCCCTTCTCTTAACTAGGTATTTCTAGTCCACGGCTTTAAAACTTTTGGAAAGAGCCCACTCTCTTCGCAGTTCCATTTATCCCCCGTTCAAAAGTTCTTATCAGGACGAATTTCCCGGGTCAAACTACGGTCACGAAATGCCCCTGTTCTCTGAGAAGTGTTGCGTGACAACCAAAGTAACGCTATGGGGGAAGACTACTTTGAGACAGTATTTAAAGTTGGAGGGGTATTTTAAAAGGATATCTTCATAACAGGTAGAAACTGATCGTCAGGATCGTTAAGCGGTTTGTATATTTCCAGTTCTTTTTCAAGTTTCTTCAGGTTTCCCTGCATTGTGTTAATCGACTTTTGCAGAATTTCATCTGACACTAGAGATGGCAAAAACAAAAACAGAATGTGAGGGCAAATATACACTCATTGAATTAGTTAAGTAAAGTTCAGTGTTAAATATAGCCTGCATCGGACCAAACCTTCCCATACCACCCAAGCTTATCTCCGATTTCCGTAACATAAAGCGGCAAGGAGTATTTCTGGTTCACCCTCCCCCTCTGGATGGGACGCTAGTCCATCGCAGGATAACCCCCTGCAGTAAATGCGTAGGTACCATTACAGCTGGGTACCCAAGAAAATAACGGGAAAAAGGAACTCGAATATTACTTTAACTAACGTGACACAACTCAAAAGAGACTGCGTGACAGTTGAATGTACTTCTCGTTACCTCTTGCAGCTTGCTCCACGTGAGTCAACTCGTTTTCAAATCCTGAAATCTCGGGATATTTAGTTTCTATGATGTCTTCAAGAAAATGAACCAATGTTAACTGGCCGTCCATGGACTTGGTTGAACTCAGCTGCAACGTAAATAGAGCTCGAGTAGGTTTAAAAACGTTAAGAAGATCAAGACCGCGGGAGGAGCGTTACGTGACGACACTAAAAAACGGCTGCGAGGGAGACTACAGGGCCTCCCAGTAGCAGAAATTACAAGAAAATTAGAATACTGTAAAGTACAATAGAGGTCTCCCATTACACTTGTGTAAAATACCATTACTTCAATTTTCTGATTGGCATTTTTAATTGCCTTAGTGCGAACGACGGGGAAAAATCAATCAAAAACTATGCGTAGTTTGGCAGTTGGTACGATGCGTTTAGCCATTGAAAGACTAAGCAAGCTTCGAGTCTTGCTCTGCCATGTTACTTTGTCACCTTGGCTAAAAACCCACCCTAAACGTTGCTTTGACGGTAAATGCAAAGCACGTTTTCTAGCGGTTTGTTAAATTTATGGCGCAACTAGACGTTCGTGAAATTCTTACTTTAGTGAGATAGTTCATCTCAAATCCCATTGAGCCCTCGTTTCGTGAGCCAGAGTTCATGTAATTACCCATAAGGAGCACAAGTTCGAGAAACTTGGAGAATTTCGGGCTGGTCTTTACTTCCCTGCAAGCCGCTGTCGCATTTACAACGTTCTGCAAAAAGATAGAAATTCGTTATCAATGATTGTAGACCGGCATGATTAAGAGTGACTAAAGCAGGTCCACACTAAAACCGCACAGCCAACGTGTTCAAACTCCGCCGGTTTGAAGAGCGTTTTCGAAAAGCTCCGTTTTCGTGACGAATTAGTGTGGACGGCTGGCTCAACTGCAGTGGTTAAGCTACGTTTTCAAATTTCTCCAGCTTGTGTGAACGGGGCCATAGCTCAGCATCTCTCTTCGCTTCAGTAGTGGTCTCTCCAGCCTACATGTATGTTCAATTTAATCCGCACAAATTCAAGTTGCCGAGGTCGTAAAGAAAACGAATTCTCACCAGTTGAACTATCCAAAATGTATAGAAACATCAGGAGAATTTTCAAGTTGATCTCCGCACAAAGAAAAAAATGATAATTCTCTTAAGTGGGGAGTCCAAATGTTCGGTAGCCTGAGAAAGCTTTAACTTGCCTGGGAAGACCGTGGATGGAAATAAAAATGCGCAATAAGAACTTACTGGTTTTATGTCCTGCATGTCTTCAGGAAACTTCATCTTGAATAGAATCATGTTTAATCTTTGTTCCAACTTTTTAATGCCGCTAAGCTGAAAACAAAACAGTTGAAGAAATAAAATTAAACGTGAAAGACCTCCAATCAATTATATATATGAAACATGAAGCTTAATAAGAGAACGTTCTTTCGCGAGTTGAACGCAGCTTAGACTTGCAACAAGTTGACCTTTTCTTAATCCTTGCCTTATTTATCTCCCTCGAGCGAATTCAAGCGACGAAGTCGCGAGGGCGAGCGCGAGCGAGGTAAGCCGCGAGAGGCCCAACGGAGAAACCAACAGGCCAGGGAAGAATCCTTGGAAAGAACTTATAGAGTCTTAACGCCGCTGTACACGTAAAAATTATACAAAACCACAACTTCAATCATTCCCAATGTAATCTACTGGTGTTGAACTGACTTTTCGAGCTGAGAACCCTTTGAATTTTGAGGACAAATTGAACTGGTCGTTTGAAGAAAACTTTTCAAACTCGTCAACAATTCATCCACTTTCAACATGGGAAATCATCACTGTGACGGTGTTTGGATATCTGATCTTAGCATGGGTTTTTACTCTTTCATTTCTTCGTTTTCTCCTTAGTTTTTCGATTGATAAGATATATCAAGCACTCAAGACAGTGTTTGACCACATGGCCAAACAACTCTGTTTTCAGTGTTTCGAATGTGGTCAAACACAATCTTTCGTGTTTGATGTGTAAACACCAACTTACCATGCAGGCAAACTGTTCAGGATCACTCAGATCATCCAAGTTATCCTTCATATTGCCAAGTTGTTGCATCTGAGAAAGACAGGAAAAAAGAGATCAAGTGATCAAAATGTTGAGATTGTAATGAAAAAAATTTTCACAACTTAGATTGAAAAAACATGGAAATTAGGAAGGAAAATTAATATTCTGGCCAGAGATTGAAATAGCTTCGTTGATTCAAAACAGTTAACGTGTTCTACATCTAATTTTGTTTGTTTGTTTGTTTATTTGTTTATATCTGACCTGTTCTGGTGATGGAAGATACTTCAGCAAGGAGTTGATGGCGCTTTCTGTCAAAACCACCTGATCACATTTTAAGATTAACTTCTTAACCTCCGTGTGTGGTAATTTAAGCGAGCCGAGGAAAATTGCTGTGTGAAAATAAAAACAAAATTATCAGCAAGCAAGTATTTGCTGTATAAAAAAAAAATCACATTTGACCATAACCGTAGCCGGGCTAGCGATGGTAAAGCACTAGTCTTAATAAGGGAACATTTATTTACAATATTTGCCTCATTAGCATAAGCGATATAGTTTCTGATCAAGCTTGAAAAAAATATCAGTCCTGAATTCTCAAGGAATTTGAATCGAAGTATAGAATGCTTTATTGCGACGCGGGTTTAAAGACTCAAAATTTCACAAAGAATGTATGAACTCATTAGCGCTTTTGGCACCCAGAAATTTTATATTTTTTTAGAAATCCAATTTATCCTTGAATATTACACCCCAAAAATCGCACTCATTACTAAATTTCACAAGCTCTTTCAATGTTTGGATTCAGTTCAAGATTAAACTGCACTCGAGGTGCTACCCGCGGCGTAGCTCAAAAAATTCCTTGAAGTTACCATGGAAATGAATGCTACTACTTTTTGGCACTCTTTCTCGATCAAGCTTTCCAACTTAACCCTAGCCCTGGACCGCAACCCTTCAGAACAAGACTGATTCCGAACTGCCAGTCACGGTAAGGGAGACTGAACTAACGCCGAAACCTCATAACATGTTTCCAAAACATTTGTGGTACTTACATAAGTTTTGAGCGCTCTTTGGGTCAATGACCTTCAAATCTTTGCCCTTTTTCTTGGCAGCTGCTTTCTTCTCCAGCCCTTCTCCATCTTCTTTCTTCTTCGGAGCACTTTTGGCAGCGAACGTTTTCGTCAGTTCGTCAAACAAACCAGGTTTTTCCAACTTGTCCTCCTTCGTTTTTGCCCAGAAAGTATTTTCAGTGAAGTTCTTCATGTTGATCTGTGAAGCAGACAATATCAAACAGCTGACATAAGCACCAGACTACA